CTGCCCTGGGATAAGCACTGTCACCCCTAAGGAATGACCTAAAAAAAAAAAAAAAAAACCAGCCATTTCTGGAGGACTGATAACATGAAATCTCTAGGATGGCTTTCACATGGGACGGCAAAGTGCTTTGTGGTGTATCCTGGATGGATGATGAATGTCCCCAACCACATGACAGGGAAGCAGCCATGTTTGGTCATGCTGGTGACAATCTTACAGCTTCAGAGAAAAAGTTGGGCCAAATGGACTTGGTGCTAAGAAGTAACCCACTGACCTCAGCTCCATAGGAAAGCTTTCTGCTGGGCCCCACTCACTTAGGAACACCGAAGGAGGCACTGGCATGGCACAGCTAAGTGCTTCCTTGTAACTTGAAGATTGTCTGCCATTCACCCACCAATTGGAATGTTCTATCCAATAGCCATTTTCCTTTTCTTTTTTTTCTAAAGATTTTATTTATTTATTATGTATACAGTCTTGTGCCTGCACGCCAGCAGAGGGCACCAGATCTCATTCAAGGTGGTTGTGAGCCACCATGTGGTTGCTGGGAATTGAACTCAGGACCTCTGGAAGAACAGTCAGTGCTCTTAACTGCTGAGCCATCTCTCCAGCTCCGAACATAGCCATTTTCTAACAGAACCTGTCTTCTTTACAGAAGACTAAGTTCCTCTATCCCATAATTATAAGAGACCCAGTTACCCTGGCACTAACAATCCAGGAATGGCACTCAGTGGCCCAAGCTGAGAACTAGGAAGGCTGAGTACTAGAACCAGAGCCCCAAGGCTCCCTTACCACATATACAGTCACAGGTATATGTGGAACTTCCTTTTCTTTCTAGTTCTTATCAATATCAGATTCATCTTATCTGCAGGGTTTCCATGCCTTGTATCAGAAGGTAGCATAGATAGCCCTTCCTCCTGGCAGCCTTCCTTGGACTGTTAAATTCTACTTATACCTTACCCCTACCTATCTAAGAGATGTAACTCCATCTGATTATCAGCTCTCTTCCTAGCCTGAGAACAGAACACACGTTTTTCTCACTCTCACTGTCACTCCAAGACCAAGCACAGTGCCTGGCCCAGTGCTGGAACCACAAGGAACATTTCCTAAGTGAATAATAAGCACATCAGAAAACGAAGAAGAAACAGATGAAGACCTAGGATATCTGAGTCCAAATCCACCATCTGCTACTCTTGAAATGGCTTTGTGTCTACAAAATCCATGGAATAGAAGCTCAGCATGGCAGTACACACCTGTAGTCCTAGCACCTAGGAGGATCAAAAGTTCAAGATCATCCTCATCTACATAGCGATTTCAAGGCTAGCTTAGGCTACATGAAACTCTGCTTTAAAAAACAAAAAAGGGGGAATTAGTTAATCCATGGAATGAAGGCACCAACTTCATTTAACTACTGGAAAGCTTAACCAAGAGGAGGTATGCAAATTGTTCACAGGCCCCAGTTGGATGGAGCTGAGCTAAAGTACACCACCTCTCACTCTACCAGCTTCTCAGTAAGAGAAGTCAGTTCAAAGCTAGTGTCCTTGGGAGATGCAAGGCTGACCCCTGTAACTCCCAGCAGTTAATTCCTCCTGGACTTCAGCTGTGGCACTGAGCCAGCCTTCTAAGGGCCTGCACCAGGTGTGGCTCACAATCTATGCAGCCCTGCTCACAGAAGGCAACATCACTGCCAGGGCTGAATCTGTCCTACAGATGACTCCTGTGAAAACTGTTACAATGGGCTCTGTCCCAGTCCCAGAAAACTCCCGAAACAGAGTCTCCTCATCTTGCTCTATACAGATGTGGGTTGTTTCTTTTAGGGGGTTACAAAGCTCTCCCTCATGAATCCAGGTTGTCCAATCAAAAAAGCCCCGTATGTGGCAGGTTGAGGAGTTGAAGTCCATATTTTAAACAGAATTTCATAAAGCATATGCAGCTCCCTCCCCCAGAGAACAGAGAAACCTAGTAAGTAGAAGAGGCTGCAAGCAACATGGAATTCTAGAAGGTCAGAGTTGGCAAATGCTTTGAGAACATGAAGTCCTCTCTTCTCACTGGACAGAGGGGAAACTGGAGCTCAGAGAGAGAGAACTGGCCTAATGCCATGTTCTGGGTCAGTGGTAGAGAAAAGCCTGGAGGTCATAGCTGTTATTCCCCAGAGCTAGTTGTTGGCTTGGTGGTGCTAAGCTGTGCTAACCAGGAGCTAAACCTGCTAACAAAGACCCCCAAAATAAAACGGAAGGCCGGGCGTTGGTGGCACACGCCTTTAATCCCAACACTCAGGAGGCAGAGGCAGGTGGATCTCTGTGAGTTCGAGACCCGCCTGCTCTACAAGAGCCTGCTGCTACAGCCTGCTCTCTATGGCTCTACAAAGCCATAGAGAAACCCTGTCTCGGGGAAAAAAAAACACGGAAGAAGCAAAGCCACAGTGGCTTCTAAGCTCAGAACCCTGGTTAAATCTCATTATAGGGCCTTTGGGCTTGCTTGTTGGCCTTTTGGCTAGAATCATGTGTCAAGCCACTTGGGAGGCAGGGGATCTAGAGCTGTAAGAATGTAAGAGAGGGATCAAGAGTTATTGGTGTCACACACCTTTAATGCCAGCCCTTGGGAGGCAGAGGCAGAGGCAGTCAGATCTCTGTGAGTTTGAGGCCAGCCAGGGCTACCCTGTCTCGAAAAATCAAAACAAACACAGAGTCGTGGTATTGGCTCATTCTACACCTCAACTAGGCCAGGTGACAAAGGAGGAACTGAGTCTGGGAACCAGACACCAATCCAGGCGGTAAGAGCAAGGCGGGCCAGGACACGTGACGTCTTC